CAGCTTGGGCCCCGGTGACGCCGCTTGCGGCTTTAATTTTATTTATTTTTATTTTGATAAGCTAATCTGAAGACGGGTCAAAAACTTAAATCGGTTGGGTGGGCGTGCCTTGTGTTGAAATTAAGTTACGTAACAAACCGGCAATGTCCTGGATATTCAACGTTCGTACATAACATTCTTCACTCGTGCATTTTAGCGTTTATTTCAAACTATTCGACAAGAATGACACACTACAACTGTGACGTCATACATAGTGGTCGCAAAGGATGTGGTAAATTATTTCGTTTATTGGGTGCGACTGTACTTTGCACGTAGTAGTCGACACTCACAATAGTGTACTTACAAATATTTCTTGTGAGAGGTCAATGACCAATAGTTGACACTAGCTGGTTAATAGAGTGAATAGTTTTGTCAAACTATTTCTCTATTTGTCTAACCATTTATTATTTTAACCCTTCGTTAGTGCTAAATTCTTTTCCCCATTTAAATTTGGGTAAATTTGTCAACATCAAACAGTCAAAACACGACATAACTAGTTTTTGATAACAAAAGTTGAAATTTTCGTCAAAAAACGGATAAATGCATATTTTTAATCTAAACAAATGTTACTTCCCTGGACATTGACATTGAAAGTGATAGTTTCTAAGTAAAAACTAAAAGCATCTTGTTTTTTAAACACAAATCAAAAAAAAAAATCTAAATCAATATACAAAAAAAAAACTAGCTACATTTAAATTCAAAAATTTGGTATTGCCTGGAATCATGATGAACTTGCTAGCATATTTACGATTTTCAACAGTGGTTCTTTCTTATATTTGATTACATTCAAGTTGAAAGGTACAAAGCTGGGGGCTTATAAATGTATTTATACTTAATCCAAACGATGTGCTTTCTGATTGGATCATGTTGTTATAAAAAAATGTATATTTATAAATTTTTATCCTTCACTGTACATATTGCAGTTCGTAAATTATTCACAGCATGTATCTGAGGAAGCCATATCAATTTCTTTATTCATATAATATCAGCTGTTCACAGCCTGGTTTTGATTCAGTGAATATGCATTCATTCATTTTCTCTAAATTTATTTTTAGTTTAAAAACTAATACAATATTGCTATTTCATATTTTGAAATATTATGATTTGGTTTATATATATTTTGTGGAAACCATATATTCTGTAGTTGATCAGATTATGAAAAAAAAATAATTGAATGTGACATAATTCACAGTGAGGATAAAATAAACGGTCATGTATTTCACTGTCATGGTTGCCATGGCAACATTTTAGTGTATATAAGGATTTCTAAAAGACCCAGACAGAATTCTAATTACTGCTCTACTGCACTTTAAATAGATAATGAATAACAAGACCCCCCCCCCCTTGCCTGACATTCATGGCTAGCTAATACCCTCTTGTGATATCACAACACTATTGTATATTACTGTCAGTGAACTTTAACGCTAAATGGACAAACTATCTTTATATCAACATATGTAATCTAAAAATGGAAGTTTAACATAAAACAGGAGTAGAATTCAGTGGCAGATCCAGCAAAATGTATGGGGGGGGGGGGCAAGCTTCGCTTAACATTACGGAGCGAAAATCGCAGAGAAGCTATGCGTAATCCAGATGATATGAATCGTCATGCGTTTGGGGGGCATGGTGGAATTTGTCTTGATTTAAAATATTTTTCATGTCAAAATGGCAATGATTTTTTCCCATTTAAAACTCTGGTAAAATTTCTTTGAAAAACAAATTTGATCTTGTCACCCATTAATTTCAACCAATATTCACTTTCCCTGTCCTTACAACATAAAATATCACAGTCAATAAAAAAACAGAAATTAGTCTGAATTTTTTTCATCTCGAATATTTTCTAACTTATATTTTCACAATGAAGATTGCATTTGACTAGGCAATTTTTTATATTTCTTTTTTTTTTGAAATGAAATTTAAGGTCATGTCATGATACCATTAGTTGTTGAGCTCATGAGGGTTTTAGCCAGCCATCTGTCTACCTGTCAAACATGCACTTTACATCTTACATCTTGATATCTTGCATTTCAATATTTTTTAGACAGGTACATGTACTTTTTCTTTTCTGGCAATAACTATAGTGCTCATATAATAAGATTAGGAAATCTGTCTAAAACAAAAAGTAGCCAAAAATAACCAACAAACCTGGGTCTCATCCTAAAATTTTTGAACGCCAAACTCCAATTCTAGATAAAGATAGATAGATAAACCTATAAGAAAAATTTGCTTATTTTGTTCACAAATTTTGATCAAGATCTATAGGTAATAAAAAATAACACCCATCTAATACAAAATTTAACAGAAAATTACATAAAAAATGATGGCATTTAAAAAGGCTAATTACCGGTATATCACAGCAAATTATAAAGTTAATTCTGGATTAAAATTACATTGGAAAACAGATGGGGAATTGTAATACAAATGTAAGTGATGAGCAAAATGCTGTTCGCTGTTTTGTAATTTCTTGTCGAATTTGAGCAACTTTGCTTACCAAGTTTTGCTCTTCAAATTTTGCTTACAGCTTATTTAACCTCAAGACAGATTAAATGTAAACCACATACAAAATGGTGGTTTTCTGGTGCAATCCAACGGAGGGATAGGTTTCGCTTTAAATCTTGACCAACTGTGCCACCCACTGTGACAACTATGCAATTTTGAACCAGTAATCTAGCATTTTATTGAAAAAATATCAAAGTTGCTGCGTTCAACCAGTCATTTATTGCTTTTCACAAGGAGGTTACTCATTAGTCCTTATTTGCATATGAGAATCCCCTGGTGACATCACCAGGTGACATTACTGGGCAGCCTTGACAGGTATAGTGGCACTGTGACATATAGTTTTAGAAAATATTTCTGGTTATATTTTGTCATATGTTCACTTTTGTAAATTTTCAAATGAACTTCTGCTAAAATTCTTGTGATAAATTTTGAGGAACAAATATCATGCACTGTTAATACAGTAATCACTTTATGGTATTTTTGAATTCAAAACAACTTATCATACAATATTAATTTTGTAAATATATATTTATTCTCTATTTAATATACAGGTACATAACCCACATAGAAATCATTCATGGCAAAAAAATAGAATAAAAATAATGCATATTGCAAAATTAAAGGGAGATGGTCATTTACGGTACTTTTGAATTCAAAACAACTTATCATACAATATTAATTTTGTAAATGTATATTTACTTTGTATTTAATATACAGGTACAAAACCCAAATAGAAATCATTCATGGCGAAAGAAATAGAATAAA